GTTTCTCTTCATCAGTGATGGTGAAGAGGAAATTAATTTTGCGATGGGCCTTTACTTTTGCAGAGATAGAAGCTTCCTTACTATTTATAAAAAAAACTTTTACACAAGTTATCTGAAGAAAAGATATTGGGGTAAAATGTAGGTCTCAAAACCTTCCGAAATACGAAAAACAGTAAAGATGATTTTTAATTTCTATTATTTATCTATTTTATTTATTAATTTTATTTTATCTTATCATTTACAAATTCGCTTATTATTTTTTTTAAGCTTCGAATATTGAAAATATATGAATATATGGATCTTGATTTATTAATCAAGACAGAGTAGACAGAGTGAAGAGTATACAGGATTGGTTAATCAATTATAATAGTTATGACGACCAGCACCAATAGCACTATGTACAATCAATAATACTGGAACAAAAAAATGATCATCATTAAATTATGTGGTCACGAGCGCAAAATTGTTGTATTTGCAAAAAAAAAAAAATCAAGATATTTTGAATAATGGAAAACGGAAAAATGAGCAATCACTTTGAATGTTAGGTTAGAACGTAATTATATTTTCCATTTATTCTTATTCTTATTACTATTAACTGTGTAAAAATGTATCAAATAATTTAAATTGACAAGTTGATTTTATAAGATCCCAATTGAAGTTCGGTAAATTAACAATTTATCTTATTTTATTTTAAAAAGAAGTTAAGATTTCTTTTAATAAGAATCAAGTATAGAAATAACCAATATTTTTGTTATAAGTATTAAATGTTTAACTAACATACAATTTAAGCATATTTTAATTTGGCAGCATGGAATATAATTCAAGAATTTTCTAGTTTTAAAAACAATAATAAATTATTCCCTACAGTGAAGAAGAATATTACAATTCTAATAAACAAAATGTCGGATTGGAATGGCATTTTCCTAATAATAGCAATACAAATAATTTTTGAATAGTGCATTTTTATTCATCAATAAAGGCAAGAAGAAAGGAGAAGAAATTATGTACGTTATAATTATTATTATTTTTTTGTTTTCAAAAGCTAGTTCTTATGAATGAAGAAATTTCCTATACACATATTTTACTAGTCTTCAATAGATTTGATATTTTAATGTCAATTTCGAAATGGGATAATACTAGAATCATATAAAAAAATTATCATACATTATAAAGAAGTTATTATTCAATAAAATACTTTAATCTTTTATTATACAATAATTTAATTACTTTATTTTAAAAAAAATGGACATTATAATCATTATGTTTATTTTTTTACGTTCATTTATTTATTTTGGTACACACCTTTTGGAACATTGAAAATTCAATCAATTAATTACTTATTTAAGAAATTATATAATTAAAAATGGAAATATATATTTTAAAAGAAAAAATTTAATTAAAATAAAATAATTCAAATAAAACAACAAATAATAAGATATCAACTAAAAAATTTACACAGAAAATTAACAAATCATCATTATACAACTTATAATAATTCGATTTAGAAATGGAGAAAATTATGATGACAATTTGATCATGATGGTTTAATACTACTATTATAAATATTGAAGTTTGGTTATAATTTATTATGTGTTAAAAATATTTTTTTAAAAAAAGAAAGTAAAAATAACAATCTATTTAAATGTCTCGATGAAAGAAAGATAAAATTATTTTTTTTTTTTCAAATAATTCATATAACAAAATATACTATTTACTATTCACCATGACTAAAAGAAATTATATTGCGTTGATTACATAACAAACATTTTTAAACCTTATTCTTATTATTATTACATAATTAACTATCTTAATTCAAATTCGTTATTTTATTTTTTGGTTAATTATTTTAATTATTAATTATAATTAAATATGATATTTATGATATTTAATATATTCTCGTCATTTTTGTGATAAAAAAATTTAACAATTAATCACCATAATCATTATAATAATAAGTTGTCACCCTGACAAACTCCAATAATTCAATTCAAGTGGTAACATAATAATGATCTCTGGCCGAATATTAAAAAAAAAAAAATCCGAGTTCTTTCATTGGGACCAACTATTTCTTAATCTAACTTTTATTTAATCTCATCTATTCTGATCATTCCATCCAACCAATTGTGCCATGAATCTCAAATCTCATTGAATTGTTCTTCAACTTTTTAGCAACTCATTTAATTGTTCTTATAACAGGATCAATTTTCGATGAAGAAGCCACAACTGGTTTTGGAGCTATTGGAACGAGATGTGATAGATGCAGGGTGGGGGAAGCTTAAAATAGGAAAAACATGATTACTTAAATTTAACTCAAAAAAAAATTTATTTTTATAGAATGCACTAATAAAAATTTTTTAGACATTTCTTGTACTGTATTATTTCTTACAATAAAGCACGAAATTAAATTTACGCCCGATAAATTTTATTAATAAATGATACATATTTTTATTAAATAAAAACTAGGTGTTCATGTGACTATCTACGAAATTTAAATTACAAATGATAAAGGAATTATCATGTCACATTTAAAAATAAGTGACTCTTCTGTTTCTGTAGTAAAAATTAAATTTCAACTATTTCCTCCTTTAACTGATTTCAAGAACCATGGAAATGCTTTGTCTCAATCCCATACTTACAGTACAACAATATTTAAGATTGTCCTTTATTATTCCTCCATGGCTGATTCAAAAACCATTGAATTACCTTTTCTTCATCTTTTGTAGGAATTCAAAAATTTGATATATTTTTATTATCATTATTATTATTGTGAAAAGTTTGAAAAGGAATATAACATTAAAATGATAAATTTTTTATTTAGACAATGTTTAGTAAAATATGTTTATCGATGTGATTTTTTTTAAAACAAACGATCATATTGAAAACATATAAAATTGTTAAAAAAACTACGACTTCACTTTCTCTATCATTAAAATAAAATTAGAAATAATGATTTTCAGTTAAAAGATTTCTAAACCAAATGGTTTAGAAAGTTTATTGAAAAATGTAGAAAATAATTAAAAAATAAATTCTTTGAAAATAAATAATATTTCTTGAAATTATTTTGAAAATATTCTTATTAATCACAAGCCTTCATCTTAGAAAATAATGGATGAATTCAAGTTAAACCATTTTAATCTTATAAATTTATTTCATACTTTATTACGATTTAATAATAACCTTTTTGTATAAATCAATAAATAATTACTTTTCAGGAAAAAAGGGAGAACGTAATGTTCGAATCATATTTGGTTCTGCTATTAAAAATCTTAGTTGATTTAATCGACTAGAGCTAAAAAATTTTCTATAAAATTTATTAAACAAGCATTATCACCATATAAAATGAAATAAACTGATGCGTATTTTTAATCATATTTTCAATATTCTTTCTTGTTCAAGGTTTAATTTTCATTCCATTTAATTTCTTGAGTAACCATTTCTTATTTCATTTAAAGTTAGTATGATTTAATGTATAAATAAATAAATAATTAATATATAATTTATTATTTATTAATTTTATACAAATAATAATATAATATAAAATTATCGTAGGTTAGGTTTTTGTTAATATATAATATAAGATTTATTATTTAAATTGACTTTAATTATTTATCAGTTCAGTGATTCGAATGTATGTACGCAGGTAATTTTATGAGACGCAAAAGATATAGTGATAATATAGAAATTTTTATTTATTTTAATTGAAATTTATTTTTATTGATTTTTTTCCGATCCGAAATTACACGTAATGTAGATAATTATTTTTAATTATTATATAGTTAATATAACAATATTTATTTATTTTGTTTAAATTGTACGATAGAAGAAAAGGTAGATTTTATTTCAACTCAGGATTAGCTCTCGCTGTAATGATTGTTCTTGTTAAATTAGATATTCGGATTGATGACTACTATTATTATTATCATCATCATCATCAATTGTAGTAAGTATTTCAAATTAATTCCAACCATTAATGTAGAAGAAAGTGATTTAAGAAAATGAATTGTATTATTTATTGAATATAAGAACCTGCAAAAAGTATATTGCATATTTTACTATGATATTATAATAACCTTTTTGTATAAATCGAATCAACAATATATAAACAAATCGTGATATTTTATTTAATAAAAAATCTTAATTATGGACTAAGTCATTTGAATTCATATAATAATTTCATATTCTATCTAAGTGTATAATATAAAAACATTAGTACCAAGCAACCTTTGGTGTTAATAATATTCAAAAAGCCCTTGTAGATCAGTAAGTGTTTTTTTCTTAAATTAAATATCGTAAATGATAATTAATTAATAATTAATTGATTAGTACCCAAACTACTCTGCACCACATTCTCACTACACGCGTTCAAAGATTGTATTGAGAATCGTGAAGTAATTGCTTTTGAAATTAAAGAAATTATTGATGAGCCTGTTCACTCTTGGGGTTTTAAAGTACAAATAAATCTTTAACATATATTCATTTAAACATTTTATTATTATTTTTAGTTAATTAATTTGATAATTTAATAATTTATTATTTATTAATTATTTATTATGAAAAGATTGAAAGTGTTTTAATCAAGGATATTCAATTCACACAGGATTTACAATCTTCCCTTTCTTCAGCAGCTAAACAAAAGGAATTGGTGAGAGTAAAGTTATTGCTGTTCGGGCTGATGGCGAGAGTAAAGTTATTGCTGCTCAGGCTGAAGGTAATTAAAGGAATTAAATTAAATTAAATTAGATGAATTAAATAAATTAAATAAGTTAAAAATAAATGAATAAGTAAATTAATTCATTATTATTTTTTTTAGTTGATTCTGCAAAATTCATGAAACAAGCTGCCGAACTTCTTAATTCACCGACTGCAATGATATTGTATAAAAATAGATATATAATATATAATATAATATGTAATATAATATAATTTTACAATATTTAATTATTTCCTTTTAAACATTTAAATTTCCCTATTTATAATAGAAAATGCAATAACTTCAAACAATGGCTGGAATGTCAAAATCTTCTGGCGCCAAAGTCATCTTTATGCATTTCGATTCATCACATGATGATGGTACTCCCGGACCATCTACTGATGGCGCTATCGTTAGTAGCGACGGCATGCTTAATCCTGCAAGCGCTGCTATTTATCAAACGATGGCTGAAGATCGTAAAAAATAAAGAAATAAGAAAATTATTTTTTTTTTATAAAAAAGAAATAGTACAACATTTTATTTTTTATTTTTTACACAACATTAAACGCAGTAATTATTTATTTTTGTTAGAAAATATTTTTATTTGATTGTAACAATTGTCTAAAGTTTAAAAATTGTTAAAAAAATAAATAAATAGTTCTAATTTTATTCAAATTTTATTTAATTTTGTATTTAACTTTATTCTATTTTTTTTTAACAAACTTTTTTTTTTACTTACTAACATTCCTATCTATTTACGTTTTTCAATACGTAACGTTATAATAAGCCATAATTCAAATACATGGTTTAGTGAATTAGACTTAATAAATAAATAAAATTAACAAAATGAGGTCATTTAAAAGTCACTTCTGGATCGAACATATACAAATTATTTTTTTTTAAAAAAAAGAGGTATTAATGTACCAATTCTTACCACATTTCGTTCTTACCTATTTTTCCACTTAAATCATGATTATTTTGCGATTTTTATTCGGATAAAATATTACTTTAATTTATTTAAAAAATCTTCATTTATATATACAATACCATCAACTTTTTTAATACCACTTCACATTAACCACTTTCCTATTGTTGATCTTACATCCTAATTAACATAATAAATAGTGCCATAAACACCTTTTACAATTTGTTTAATATTTTGAAATCTATCATATGGTGTCCATTCTATTAATTTATTCAATCGACAGTTAGTTGTATATCTTAAATAAATTTATTTATTGTATCATAACCGCGTGTCCATTTATTAAAATCTTTTTTGAAAAATGTTGAGTTGCGCCTCTTGTAATTATACTTTAAGTTGACAACAAAGTAGTAAAGCAAAATATCATAAATTAGGAATGTTAATAAAATATTTTTTTGATTTTAATAAATACATGTGATTCTTATTCATATATAAATAATAATAACTAGAATTCTCAAAAATAACAAACTAGTCAAAATTGGATAAATTTCATATAATTTATAATTTGGAAAATCACATAAATTAAGAAATTTCAGTTAAATTAATTGACAAACTTCAATTGCATTAGAGATTTAAATGAAAATTATTAAAAAATGAGATTGGTCAAAACAAATTTAAGTTAATGACCATCAAAATCAAGATTATTTATATGAATATTATTAAAATCAAAAGGTAAAAGTTTGCTTATGATATTTACTTCATGATGAGTAATTTAAGCAGAAGATAAACATCTTCACCATACATTTTTTTGATCTGAATTTAAAAACATAAGTGAATGCTCTGTCTTTTTATCGTAGATCAATCCATTTTTCTGATATATAAAATCATTTCAGCACTTGGACGTTCAGATGCATTTTTGTGCCAACACATTTCCATTAATTCTATATGTGTATCTTTACTAATTTTTAGTTGAAGTCCATTGAAAATATCAATAGCTAATTCGCCATTATATGCTCTGTTAGCAAATGGTCTTTTTCCTGTTGAAATGATCCACATGACAATTCCAACACCATAAATATCTGAAGCTTGTGAATATTGATATTTATTCAACACTTCAGGTGCAATATATGGCAATACACCATATGCTCCAGATGATGAGGTTTCATTTGCTAATCTACATAGTCCTAAATCTCCCAACCTTATATTTTGAATTATTATATGCTTCAGTTATCATAAAATTATAAGATTCCCCGGGTAAATATCATGAGCACGTCCTTTACTATGAATAACTTTTAATCCCTAACAAAAGAATTCAATTACCATATCCGTTCAATCCAAAGTAATTATTTATTATGATTAAGAAAATCCCTCAAATTTCCATTTTTCATATGTCACAAAACTATTGCATATCATATTCTTTTGTCATTGAATCCTGGATTATACCCAAAATTGGTAAAACATATTTGACACGACTTTTGAAATTTGCAGTTAACTATAGTCACAAAGATTAAAATTAATATAAATATTGTTATATATATTATATATTGATGTATTTAATATTTACCTCTTTAAAAATTCTGAACTAATATCTTGTGAATTTTTAAGTTTCTTCAAGACAACTTGATTTGATTTGTAAAATTCAAATACTTCTTCAGGCATATCTATCCATTCTGCTTTTCCTTCAGCTAAATATTCTATGTTTTTCAATTTACAATAATCCATACGTCTCCAAATTCCCATTCCTTTGCATTTTCATCTGATTAAGTCATAAGAATAATCTTGCTAACATTATAATTACCACTAGACCATTTTGGTTTTTATATAAGTTTACAATCTGAACATGTATAATCAATTGATTTGAATTTTTATAATTAATATATTGATGTTCTAGTTTATTCAATTTGTTCTGATTTTTTTTAACATATGAAATTTCATTTCGATAGAAATATTCAACTGAATTTTGTCTCCTCCCTCAACTGGTTTCAGAAGCCACTGGAATGCGTTCTCTTCATCTTTTGTGGTTCCAAGTCCTCTGAAATAAGAATATCCAAGATTAGTTTGTCTCTTGTAATTTCCCCCTTCAGCTGATTTTAGGTACCGCTGGAATGCTTTGCCTTCATCTTTCATGGTCCAATCCCTTTTTGATAACAATATCCAAGATTGAATTGTCCAACAATGCGCTCTCCTTCAGCTGATTTCAGGTACCACTAGAATGCTTTCCTTAATATTTTATGGTTCCTGTTCCTTTGAGATAACAATTTCCAAGATTATTTTGTCCCATGTGGTCTCCCCCTCATCTGATTTCAGGTACTGACGTAATTTCCTCTTCAATATTTATAGTTTCAGTTCATTAAAATATATATTTTCCATTTACGTAATGATTTGTTCAGTATATTAAAGTTATAACAAAATTATTGAATTTAAAAGTTTGAAATGGAATATATATGTTTTTTAAAAGTGACGAATCTATTATATAAAAAGGATATCAGAAAGAAAAACTTTAATTGCATGTTTTATTATTTCAAAAAATACGCATATGAATATGAAGATTGAAGTTGACAGCTCATTATTAAATTTCCATTTTACGATTCAGCATTTTGAATTCATCCGTTTTTACGATTAAAAATCCCATTTCTAAAATTGGAATTATAAAATTTCAAGTGTAGCCCGATCTTCATAATGCATCATTGAACATTTCAAAATTAATAATGACCTACTTGATTTTGTCAAATTTAATTATGAATGTTTTCTATTATAACTTCTTTATTGTTATTAAGATAATTTGTTTGTACGAATGATGAACCATTTCGATATATCTGATATATATAAAATATTTAATATCAAAAAATTGATATGTTAAAAGCCAATCATACAATAATAATTGATCCATTATTAAATCATTAATAAGGTCAATTATTATTCAATATGTCCAAAATTCATGATAAATTAGATTTACGTTAAATTCAAGGCCATTAATAAAAAATTGATCTCAATAAAATTATCTAAATACTCACGAGTTTCTAGAAGCGGTAATAGATTAACAACTTGTTTGTTTTATTATTTAAAATTTTGTGATATCGAAACAACTGTACGATTTCCTTAAAATACCATCTAGGGAAGCGATATAATCAAATGAAGTGAAAAATCTGGGAATGGAAATGAAGCGCAATTTAGTATGTATGTAATCATTTAGTACGATAATTAATATCATGCTATAAAGTATATAAGAATATTGTATTAAAAAAACTTAAGAATAGGCTACACTAACTTTCTACTAACCATTAACTCTAATCCATAATCCTAAACTAACTTTTAATAATCGCGGAAAACTTAATGAATGGTTACACGTAATTTTTACTATTTCAATGTACAGTACGTGCACTAAAAAATAATATTAAATTAAATTAAAATTGCGGGAAAAATTATTATTTTCTAAATTGCAAAATATAAGTTAAAAATTCAAGCTAATAAATGTCTTGACCCCGAACTCTTGTTAAAAAGGTGGAAAAAGATAATTAATAGAAGAACAACACCAATAAACAAAAAATTGTACCTAAATACAAAGCCAAATACCAAAATGATTCTTAAGCGAAATCGAGATGCTACAAAAGAAATGAAATGAAGTAATAAATTTCAGGATAGATTCTATATATGAATGACATTGTAATGATAATGATTCGTTGAAATAATAATTTTTTGCAATAATAATAATAATTGATTTATTATTTTCATTTGTTGTAATAATAATTTGTTATCATTCCTTTAATAATATAATGTTTCTTTGCAATATATTTATAATAATGAGTAAACAAGTAAGAGTTTATTTATCCATAAGCTTCGTAATAGAAAATATTATTTTTTTTATGAGCGAAAATGTTGTTTTTTGATAAAAGTAAATAGTTTTTTCATAAAAAATAGTTTTTTGCGAGTGAAAAAAAATTGATATTTATTTTTCATGGGAAAAAAATCAGGAGAAAAAAAATATGCATTAGGAATGATGGCTACACAGAATAAATAAATAAAGTGATCAACTCTGAATTTCTTTTTTTAGAATAATCATGTCAATGATAATATAAGTAATAAAAAGTATAGTATATTTAATATTTATAGCTCTTTATATTATTTATTATAAAAATTAATAATATAAAATAAATAATGAAGGTAAAATTGAATAATCATAATAATCACTATTGTAATACTAATTATTATTATGATTGCAATTGTAAATATGATTATTCTTATTATTTAATTTAGTTTAATCAGATAAACTTAATTAATAAACCAATTTATTAGATATATATTAACATATAATATTATATTTTAATAATTGTGCATAATAGAAGTTGCGCTGTAGGGTGAAAAAATATTACACTGATAATATTTAAAAATATAAAATAAATATTTCATTGATAAATGTAATCAGAATATGTAATAATTAAGTATAATTGTATGTAATAAAGATATAACAATATTTATACCTGGAATGAATTTATGAATTATTCTTATTAAATTTTAAAGAATATAATTTATTAATTAAATTTTAAGAATAAAAATTTATTATAAAATCATGTATTCAATCACTTTAATTAATAAATCATTTATTTCAATAATTTTTAATTATTTAAGAAAATAATTTATTATTACCTTAATGTATCGTAGAGAATAAATTTCTTTTGGGAAATCAAGAGTGTTATCTTTACTTTTATTTATTACTTAGTATCACATATTATTAATTTTTTTATTATTAGTACTATGTATCACTTAGTATTATTTTAAGAAAGTCAATTGAAACATGTACAATAGATAAGGAATATAATAGATAAAATTTATTAAGATTTATAAGAAAAAAAGAATAAAATATATATGTAAGAAATTAAAAAATATATACATGAAATTGAAAAAAAAAGATATTTATATGATATAATTAAAAAAAAAAAAGATATAATTGATATGAAAAAAGAAAAAAAAATTCAATTCGAATAAAAAAAGAGGCATATATGAAAATGTATTATAAATTGAAAAAAAGAGAAAAAATTGCATATATTATAAATTAATAAACATAATTATCCAATTAATCATTTTGCGTATTCATATCTCACTCCATTAATTGTAGCCTTCAACTTCTTCATTTGCGTGTCGAATTTCTTATGATCGTTCCTTCCATTATTAGAAGCCTTCAATTCTTTAATTCGAGCAACTAACTCAGCATTTTTTGCCATCAATTCTTGGTTACGTAAACCTAGTTTGGCATTTTTAACTTCCAATTTTTTAATGCGAGACTCATAAGTCTGTAGAAGTAAATGTGTAAGAATAATTATGAATTATTTAGAAAAATTATAAAAAAATTTATAAAATGTTATCAAAAGAAACAAGTTAAATATATTACATATAAATTTTCGTTCGTTTTTTTTGTTTTATCTGAAATTAATGACTTGGATAATAGTCGAGAAAATAAGAGTTCTGCCGATTTACTTGATGAATTCATATCTAATAATCTTGAAAGAAAATAAAATTTTTATTAAAAATATTTGAAAAAGGATTGTATGTATGTATTAATAACTAACCTGTCTAAGTAAGTAAAATTTGAATGGAAGTTTGAAATTTGAAAAAATAATTGGGGAGAGGAAGTTATTTTATACCTTTTCATATTCATAAGAAATCAAAGAGTATTTCAAGATCGGCATGTAAAAATAGGTATGAAAAAAAAAATAAACAAAAACATCACAAGTGAAAATTAATAATAATAATTACCTTCATTAAAAATACCAATTATAGATAGATTTACTTTAAATTTTTTTTTCATAACGTAACAATAATAAAATTCTTGATTGTCTCTTTGATAATAATTATTATTTATCACTTTTTTTTCACATATTATAAAAATATTCCCATATGATGTATAATAATTTCGGGTTTTTCCATTTTAGGCAGAAGAAGTGATGATGAGTGACTCTTGTGTTGGTACGAAAAGGAAAAGAATTTTCATCACGATACTGGAAATAAAAGGGCAAAATGCAAGTGATCACTTCTTTTTTTTTTTATAATAATTTTAAAACGTACTGATAAACTTAATAATAAATTCTTTTCTAATTATAATGTAAATAGATGAATAGAGAATTTTAAGATTAAATCAAGGTCAGCAAAAAAAAAAAAAATTCTATTATATGATGGATCTGCGCAAAACTCTTGTAATATATAATGTAGTCTATTTTTTATGCTCATCATTTCAATTAATTATTGTAAATTATATATATACATTTATTTATTTATTTGAAATACCGATGAATTTCTGGGGCCTTGATAAATTTGGAAATCTGATGTCAATCACAATCTCATGAACTTTATGTGATAATATAGAATTGATAATAAAAAAAAAAAAAGCTTACGGATCGCAGTGCAGATCAAGAGAAAAAGTTAATTTAATTAAATTCTTATATATTAATTTTTTATTCTTATAGTATTATAATTAAAATAATAGGCTTCTTATGATTACAATTATATCATTATCACAATTATAATCATTATTATGATTACAATTGTGATTATTATGATTATTCTTCTTATTCAATCAAAAACAAAATTACTTAATTTAGTTTAAATCTAAAAACTTGAATAAAACTGAGAATATAAAAAAAAAAACTTATGACTCAAAAAATAAGAGTTGCAGTGCAGAGATAGAAAAAGGAAAAGAGGTGTCGGTTTGAATAGTTAAATAGTTTTTTTATTTATTATTCTCATATTTATTAAATAGAAACTTATGTAGAGTTTATTGTATAAATTAAAAAATCATGAGTCATCATTTTATTATGATCACAATTGTGATTCTCATCATGATTACAATAATAATGATGATTATTCTTCTTATCCAAAAAAAAATTACTTGAAAAAAAAAAGCCAAGAATCGTATGATTATTTTATATTACCAGAAAAAAATTTCGCACTCAAACAATATTAAACTCCCCTTTTTTTTGAATAATTTTTAGAAAACTTTTTTTCAAATTTTAAAATTATCTTGAAACTTTAAAGAGATAATTCTTATTAAAGTAAGCTATATTTTCTCCTATTTTTTTTAAAAAAAATAAAAACTTGAAACTAATAATAATAATTCATCACGTAATTTTTACTCTTTTATTTGACGTGGACCGATTTTACATAAACGTGTTAAATAATAACAACATAATTCAAATAATTCAAATAAACGATAAATTATTAAAATATAACGTTAGATATGAAGAGAGATGTAGTTGTGGTAGTGAGAGAAAACGAAAAGGGGAGACAAAAAGAAATCTAAGAAACATTCTCTGAAAATGAAGGTGAAGTCAATAAGAAAGAAAAATTTTTATCCCAATCATTCTTATTCATCCATGCCAAAAATCTCAAACAAAAAGTAAGCCCAGAATCCAAACGGTATCAGCGGTAATTAGCCTTCTCTTTCCTCATCCATTCCAAAAATCTCCAAGCAAAACGAAGCTCCGAGAACCCAAACAGCATAATCGGTAATTATTCTTCTCTTTCCTTATCCATGCCGAAAATTTCCAAACAAAAAGAAAGCTCCGCGAAACAAACAATATAATCGTAATTAACTTTCTCTCCCCATGCCAAAAATCGCCAGGCAAAAGAAAGCCCCGAGAATCAAAGTAGCATGATCGGTCTCTTTTCTTATTCATGACGAAAATTGCCAAGCAAAAAGAAAGTTCCGAGAATCCAAACAGCATTATCGGTTTTTGGTTTTCTCTTTCCTTATCCATCCCAAAAATCGCCGAGCAAAAAGAAAGCCATGAGAATTGGTGGCTATCCCAAAGTTACGATAAGAGAGCCATAAAAATTCTAATGAAAAAAATGATTAATAAAATAATTAAAATATATTTAACAAGAAAAACAATAATAATTTTTTTTTATGGCTTTTCATTGAGTATATTTCCTCTGTTTCGATATTAAAAGAATTAGAAAAGAATGAAAAGAATTAGTCCGATGAAAAATGAAGTAACAAACAACACAAATATGAAAAAAGAAAATAAAAAAAAGATATAAAGCATTAAACATGAGTACATTTAACTTATATCATTAATAAATAATATCCATGCTATCAATCGTTCGACGGCATTGTATCAATGGCTTGCATTTAAAGTATTTATTTTAAAAAAAAATTAATAATAAATATAATTAAATGTTCCATTTTTAAATTCATTACGTTATAAATGATTTTTTGGAAGGGATTACTTACCCAAGTTCGGCCATGTCACTTCAGTTACACCATTTCAGTGATTACGTACATAGATAAGTAGCTTTTAAATATAAGTTTTTTTATTGATTAAATTACTTTCACAAGATTAGAAATCGAATAGTATCGTTATTATTTTAATTTACCTTTAATAATATGTAGATAAACAATTGATTGTTGTCATTTCTCATGAAATATTCCAATACCAGGAATTAAGAAGATTATCAATAATATCAATGAAATAAAAAACTATACTATAAATTTAAGATACTATCATTCGATATTTTCTTATTGAAAATTCATATTATTATTACATATCATTCGAATAAAAAAAAAGAACAAGAAATCGAAACTGCAGTTGGCTGCAGTTTCGACTGAAGATGAAAAACGGGCTAAAAAAAAAGGAGCCATAGTGAAATTGAAGTTATATAATTTTTTTTTAATTTAATTTAAATTCTAATGGTAAAAAACGTAGTAGATAAGTAATAAAATTATATCATTTATAGATGGTGGATGCAATAATCAAAAAAAAAAAAATAAATATAATAATAACAATAAAGTCGATGATAGCGATGATGACGAAGATGATAATGGCCGGGTGGAAGTAAGAGAAGTAAAATGTCAAGTAAGTATATTTTTTTTATCAAGAATAATAAATATTATTTTTTTTATTTCTTTATATTTTATAAAAAATTATTTTTATTACAGTCGATTTTATTTTATTGTTGTTGAATTTCTTTCATTTATTTTTTATATATGTTGTTATATATTGGTTTAATTGAATATCTTTGGTTGGAAAATGAAGTTTTATTTTCATTTAATTTTTTATAGTTTTTTTTTTAATATTTATATCACATCAATAAAATTTTATATGAATCTTACATGAAAAATGACTTTTTTATTTAAATATCATATAATGATATAAACATATAATGGCTACGAAGAAATTTATTTCAGGGAAAACCATGAATAAAAATTAAATTGTGTTACATGGATTTTAGATTGCTTCCATTTATTTATGATATAATTCTTAATATTTAATGACGCTCACAAGAAATTATATCATTCATGAGGTTAGATTGTATCTTACTAATTCTTGATATTCGAACATTTAATTATAATAAAATAATTCGATATAAATTAAAAAATAATGATAAAGAAAATATAAAAAAAAATAGTTTATTTATATTATTGATTCATTATTAAAATTTTTTCTTGACTCTTTTCTGAAATAGATATAATTCAAACTTGTTCATATATAACTTTAAATAAATATTTATATAATTTTTTTAAAATAAGAAAAAACATTACATCAGATGATAAAAAAAAATTTTTTTACTTTATTTATTTTGTAAACAAAAAGATATTTAACATATATTTAAGTAATCTTTTCGTTGAATGTTATTATTTACAAATTTAGTTTAGATTTTATTATTATTTATTTTTTATAATCAAATATTCATTATTATTATTCTTCTTATTAGTACAATTCTTATTACGTATATACATTACATCAGATAATAAAATAGGCAATCCATAATCACATGTTATATTATGATTGTCATTATGAATTTAAATCTGATAAATTTATGATCAATATTTTTTTTTTGGTATCTGACTTTAACATGTAAATAAAATATACATTTGAAAAAAAAGCCTATCCATAAATAGTTTTTATTCTAAATTTATTCCCAATAAATAACTATACTTTATGAAAAATAATTTTTTTACTTTATTTATTTTGTATTGTAAATGGAAAAATATATTTAACATATAAATACTGAAAAAATCTTTTTGTTGAAAAATGTTATTAATTATTTTTTTGTTATAATCTTACTTGTTATTATTATTCTTCTACTTATTATTATTCTTATTATAAAATGTGCAATAAAAAAGCAATAAATAATCACACGTTATGGTTGACATTATAATAAAAAAAAATGCCTAGATTAATTATTTTACCATTGTTAAAATAATCACCTGTGTTAATTATTGATGTTTACTTATCTGTTTGTTTATTTTTTTCCTTATTCCATTTTTCACATGCTGATCTCAAAATACCTCCTTGATTTCTTATGATATGAAAAGGTATAAAATAAACCCCCCCCCCCCCCCCCCCAATAATTTTTTCAAATTTTAAACTTCCGATTTCAAATTTTATAAATTTTACTTAGACAGGTTAATTATTAACACATACGATTTTTTATTTCAATCATTTTTGAATATTCTTAATAAACTTTTATTTTCTTTCACATTATTAGACATGAATTCATCAAGTAAATCGGCAGAAATCTCATTTTCGCGATTTTTATCTAAGTCATTAATTTCAAATAAAAGTAAAACAAAAAATGTAATAAATTATATTCAACTTGTTTCTTGAGATAATATTTTTTAATTTTTTTTATAATGTTTCTAACTTATTTAATAATTATTCCTATATTTTTTTTTTCACCAGACTTATGAGTCTCGCATTAAAAAACTAGAAGCTAAAAATGTTAAATTAAGTGTACTTAATCGAGAACTGGAGGCAACAAATGCTGAGTTAGTTGCCAGAATTAAAGAATTGGAGGCCAGAATGGACGATAAAAAAAAATTGGATATGGCAATGAAGACATTAAAGGATACAATTAAAAAAGTAAGCTATGAATACAAAATGTTCTTTAATAACAACGAAAAATGATTAATTCGAAAATCAAGTAAGTATACCCAACAACATTATCAACACTATCCACAACATCCAAACCCGCAACATCATTATCCCCAACATCCACAACATTCTTTACAACATTATTCACAAAATCCCCGACATCCACAACATCAACAACAACATTATCCCCAATATTATCAATATCCACAACATCCGCAAACCATTTCCCCAACATTCTTTGCAACATTATCTCCAACATCCGCAACAATATTATCCCAAATATCCTCAATATCCGCAACAAAATTATCCACAACATCCGCAACAACATTCTTTACAACATTATCCCCAACATTCACAACATCCACAAAATCCGCAACGACATTCTTTACAACATTATCCCCAATATTCACAACATCCACAAAATCCGCGACAACATTCTTTACAACATTATCCCCAACATCCCCAACATCCACAACTTCCGCTTCCCAAATATCCCAACATTCACAACTTCCACTGCCAACATCTAAAACTTCCATAACTTCCGCTTTCCCAATATCCACAACTTCCGTTTCCCCAACATCCACAATTTCCGCTTCCCCAATATCCCAACATTCACAACTTCCACTTCCAACATCTACAACTTCCATAACTTCCACTTTCCCAATATCCACAACTTCCGTCTCCCCGACATCCACAACTTCCGCAACAACATAATAACTCATCAAATGTTGGGATTTACTACAATGTTCCATTAATAACTATAACATTAGAGAGCTGAGATTAGAAACGTAGGTCGGTGATTTAAAAGGTATATTTCATATTTTATTTTTTTAAAAAAAAATTGTAATAGAAAACGAATAAATAATAATAATGCAACTTAATATCAATAGGAGATAATGATAATAACAATAATAATCTAGAAGATGATGGTGATGTGTGATGACAGCGAGGATGAGGATAGTTACCGTGGAATTAAAATGTCACGTAAGTAAAATTTTTTATCAAGAATTTTTTATTCTTTTTATATTCTAATATAAAATTTTTTTCATTTTTATAGTTGATTTTCTGTTAAATTAATCCATGTTGTTCTGGTATATCTTACTGTTGAAAATTATTATGATGATTTTTTTTTTAAAAAAAGTTTTACATTTTTCATTTGTTTTATTTTTTTTTCATTTATATTTTTTGACAATAAAAATTTTAATATACTTTACATAAACCAAATAATTATTTCTTGTTAATAATCGAGAATAGTCTTAATTTACTTATGTTTAATATTGAATTCAATTTTCTTCAGTGTCGCTTGTCTCCGTAAATAGAAGCTATGAGAGAGATTATTAATATGACAAATCTGTCAGATCAATTCAATCTAATAATAACGTTCTACATATTCATATTGAAATAGTTGATTTTGTATATTTCCTACATTATCAGTTCCTTTTTCTGTAAAATCGAAATTATCAGTATTAAGATGATATGATATAAAAAAAAGCTAAAGAATAGTAAAATAATATGTAATGTCAAAGAAAAACCAAAAATTAGACACATCAAAATCAATTCCTGAATCTCCTAAACAACAAAAACAAATTAATATAATTTGTTATAAAAAAGAAGATTGCAGAAACATTACAATTATGTAAAATGGCTAAAGATCTTACGAGAAATTAGGATTTAGATGTTTCAGTAAGTTTAGACATCAGTAGAAACTTGGAACGGGAAGAATTTGGAAGATGAGAAATAAGAGGTCTCTATGTTTGTTATTTTTAATATATTTCCTTTATATTCTTGGTAAAAATTCTAATCATTAAAAAAATCTTTAGTATCAATTTGTCATATCTTATATATATCTTATATTTTCGTTATATTTTCTCTCATTTTATTTCAGTTATATTTGTATTTTTTAAATCATTTATTAAACTCAAAGCTTATTCACTTCCAAAATTTTGTTATCTATATAGGATTTTGGCATTCAAAATGGAATTACACTTTGTAAATTAGCATTAAAGTTAGTTTTTACAAACGTTAGATCTATTGTAGAATATATATTGATAGTAATAAGACAAAAGGTCGATAGTAAGTTTGCTGTGAGAAATTTTTTTAATTATTAAACGACTAAAAATTATAATTTTAATTTGATTCATTAAAGAATCATAACTAGCCAAATGAATATCAGGAGCGAGAAATTATAATTATCATTGATGCAACGAAGTTTCCTACTTTGGAAGGAATGATTTAAATGAGAGCTATCATATTTTAAGCTCGCTGTGCAATGAAAGAAGAGATCGAGATGGAACCAAATAATATAAAGATTCAATGGAAGAGAATAATAATTAGAAAGTAATAATAATCATAATGGTGATGATGATGGAACGAACAATAATTTGATGCAAGGAATCATAAATGAAGATTATGTTCCTAAATGCAATAAAAGGTAAGAATAAATATATATACTTTTGTGCATTCATTTTTAATTAAGCACAATTTATCGCATCAATTTTTTAAAGATATTCTAAATGATTAATATTTTCAAAAAGAATTTATTGATTTTTGCTGTCAATACTTTGATGCGCTTTCAATTGTTGACTATATTTATCAAAGGTAAATTTTCACAATATTATTTTGTACAGTATTGCAGAAGACTTTAGAAATGATATAGAAGCCAGATCTATTTTTTTGTTGAATGTCACATTTTTGATCATGATGTAAATAGCCTTGAGTACATTCATTACTAAATAAAATGACTGTTGAAGAATATTGAGAAGGCGTTGAGGAAGTTGGGCAGCGAAAATTATTACCGAATTTTTCAGGCGATCAATGCACAAACTTCTGCAAGAAACATTGGTAATTACATTTATTATTATTATTTTTATTTTTATTCAATTTTTGGTATTTTTTTTCTTTTTTTTTTGATAGCGAACTTATTTGGAAGACTATTATCAAAGACCTATGCTAGAGCATTATATACAAATATGTCCTCATCGCAAATGTTATGCGAGTGGACTGGATTTTAGTAGAGATGAATCTAAAGAATCAAAATTCAAGAGGCTATCTAAAAGCGAACGGAACTTTTCCCTCGTAGTACCAACTAAGAAGAATTAATTTTAGTAAGAAGTAGGAAGTAGGAATATTCGACTAGAACAAATATACGAATCATAATCCAATGTCCAAGATTTATGGAATTCATATGTCACACGGTTTTACATGTGGGAGATTAACGAATTTAAAATAGATCTTGATTATTTTATATAATCAATCATATGATCGTATTTGGATTTTTTTTTAAAAAATACTTACGTTTAATCAATTTACTCACCCTTTCTTAAATATTTATTTATTTATTAATAGAATGCTGATTGCCTTCATGCAGTTGAATGAAGAGACGGCGAATATTAAAGGTTTAATTGTGACTCAAATATATAAATTGGGCACGCTTGGAAAAGACTCGTCAAGTCTACAAATGTAAATTTTATTAAATTAATTCATAATTAAGACTTTTTTTCATACATTTATACTTTATATATATATCTCACTTATATTAGTTTCTCCCTTTCTTTATAATACAGCCTTCCATTAACAACCATTCCCTCCTTGACCTTTTACCAAGACTACACAATAATCGAAAAACAAGTGGATCTAGAGTGGCTTTATGAACAAATCTGTCAATTTAAAAAAGCATCTATTGGTAAGTTATAATTTCAATTTAAATAGATAATACTGTATATATTATTTATTATACTATACGTTTGAAATTTATACAATTTAATTATTTAATTTATATTTTAATAGAATTATGAAAAGATTTCATAGAATATATTTCCAAAATTGAAGGTAAAAATCGAGTGGTCATTTTGTACGAATATGACATGCCTTGGAAGTTGTATCAGATCCGGAAGAACTTAAAAGAAGGTTTTGTGAATTTCATTATCCCAACACCATGATCATCATAATAACAGGGAAATAATTATTACAAATATATCCTGGGTAGTAGAATAAGATTTTTATAAATGACGTAAAAGGTAATTTTGTGAGATAATATTTATGTAATTATATTTATATTTATTGATCGGAGTTATTATTCTATATTCTTATGACTGAAATTTAGTAACTTTCTAGTTAAACAAGTTAAGATCAAGTTAAAACCTTTTGCTTTATATGAAAAAAAAATTGAAATTGTTGATTTGTAATATCCCAATCATAAATAGTTCCAAACAACCTACTTAGCATAATAAATAATTCAATGTACACTCCCCTGCCAAAAGTATCCGACCACCTAAAAATTCGTATTTTTTAAGTAAATTTTTATTTGCTAATAAC